TTGTTATTTTCGTGATTGGTAAATCTTAGGTCGTGTATTTTTTAGCGTTTATTAATTTTCCAAATGGAAATTGCATTTTTTATTGTAATTTCTGAGAAAGTACTATTACAGTTTTTGTGAAAAAAGTGCTCATATTTAATTTATTGACATGAAATTTTTTTTATTATTTTAACTCAAAAAAAGTTTTAGCTGGTTTATATCTGGCCAATAATCAATTATCCATAAAGGAAAAAGCATTTTACCATCTTGTTTTCAAGAAAAGGCTGTTGAAAATTTTCCAAAATTTTAGTTTCAATATAGATGGCGCTGCCTCACTTGGACCTGGCCTTGTGCTATCCCTATATATACCCCAAATTTTAGGAAGTTTTCTAAATCTTGGGATAAATGGGAACAGTCAATTTCATGTTGTTAAAGCTTATCTAAATTTTTTTTCTGCTGCATAAAATTAATCCTGGGAATGTAAATAATAACTTTTTTAAAAAAACCGCAAATATTACCTTTTAAAGGATGAAACTTACGTAATTTGTGAAAAATAGGGATTTTGTCCCCAATTACCCTAACTGACCCTACTTTATTTAAAAATACATTTTTCTAAGAAATGAATGCAGCAAGATGTAATAATAACATTACTGTAATATTATTAAATATTTTTCTATATTACATTCGAATATTGCACCAATATTACGTCAATATTACATTTATCATTACGTGTATGTTTATCTTAATATCATCTGTAATATTACTTCAATATTAAATTTTGATATTAATTCAAAATTGCTCCAGAATTACACAAATATTACCTAAATATTTCATTGTAATATGGCATAAATATTACCTCAATATTACCTTTAATATTACCTTGAGGCGAACATTTTAATACTACTATAATATTACAGTAGTATTACAATGTAATATCACAAATCTTTAATTATCATAATATTACTGAGCAATGTATAGCATGTAATATTACAGTAATATTACCGATTAATATTGAAGTCATAACAAAATGTCCGCCTTATGGTAATATTACCGGCTAATAATACTATGAGGCGGAAATTTTAATGAATGTAATATTACAGTAATATCACTGAAACATATTACAGTAATATTGCAATAATATTACCGAAAAATATTACAGTAATATTGCAGTAATATTACAGTAAACTTACATTAATATTACAGTCATATTAAAATATCCGCTTCAAGGTATTATTAACCGTTAATATTACTGTGATATTACAAAAATGCTACAGTAATATTACAGCAATATTACAAAAAATTACAAAAACTACTTAATAATATTTCACTAATTAATTATTTTTTTCTGCTTTATCATAAAAAACTTTGAAATTTTTATGTATTTCAAAAAAGCTTGTAATATTAAAGTAATGCAACTGTAATATTACAGTAATATTAACCGGTAATATTACTATGACACAGACTTTTTAATATTGATGTAATATTATGTGAAATATTTTTCTATATTATATTGTAATATTGCACCAATATTACGTCAATATTACATTTATTATTACCTTAATATCACGTGTAATATCCTAAGTTGCACGTTATATTACAGTAATATTACCCGGAGACATTACTGCAATTTTACATTGATATTAAAATGTCCGCCTCATGGTAATATTACCGGATAATGTTACTGTAATATAACACGGTAATATTAAGGCATTATTACTATAATATTACAGTAACATTACAGTAATATTATACAGTAATACTAAGGTATTAATACACAAGAATATTGCAGGGATATTAGAAGAATATTATTTCACGAAAAAAATTTACCCAACCGGGGAATCGAACCCCGAACTCAAGGCACACAAGTCCAGAGTTTTACCAACAGGCTACACTGACTAGTGCTACAATATATGTACAAATGACTAGCTACAATATATTTATGATTGTGATGCTTTATGAGTAACTCAAATCAATCTGTAATATTACTGTAACATTACCGTAGTATTACAGTAATATTACTCGGTAATATCACCATTAGGGTGTACATTTTAATAACACTGTAATATTCCAGTAATATTACCGGGTAATGTTACTGTAATATTACAGTAATATTACGTACTAGTTGGGGTTACTTTAATATTCAATTTTGATATTAATTCAAAATTACTTCAAAATTACACCAATATTACCTTAATATTATCTTTAGGCAAACATTTTAATTCTACTGTAATATTACAGTAGTACATATTACAACGTAATATCACGAATCTTTCATTTTAATATTACTGACCCATGTAGCACGTAATACTAATATTACAGTAATGTTACTGTAATACTACAGTAATATTGCTGTAATATTACACATATTAAAATGTCCGCCTCATGGTAATATTGCCGGTTAATTCCACACAGCACATGATATTTCCTTAATATTTCTGCAATATTTCATTGAAATTTTGAAATATTCCAATATGCGAAGTCCTTGAAATATTGCTGAAATTAGGGAAATGTCCGCCTATAAGAAATAGTACCCTTGTAATTTTAGTGAAATATTTCATTAAAATATTCTAGTAAATTTTCAATTTAAATAATGTGTACTGGTCGATCTCAATTTCTATGGCCTGTACAGCTGCGTAGTAGTAGTTTTTGATTTTCTAGGATCCTAAGGTGTTGAACATGTAAGAAAATAATGATTGATTTCATATTTTAAAAAGTTTCTAACTTTCCTTGAAATATTTTCTAAATATTGCAGAGTCTTCATGTGTAATATTGCAGGAGTCTTAGAGTGTAATATTTCAGCAAAATTGCACGACAATATTTCTTATAGGCGGACATTTTTCTGTTCTCATCAACATTTCATGAACCTTATGCATTGAAATATTTCAAATCTTTCAATAAAATATTCATAACATGAGGCGGACATTTTAAAATATGACTATAATATTACAGTAATATTACCGGGTAATATTAAAGCAATATTACTGTAATATTACAGCAGTATTGCAGTAATATTACCGGGTAATATTAAAGCAATATTACTGTAATGTTACAGCAGTATTGCAGAAATATTAACCGGTAATATTACTGTAATATTACAGTAATGCTACAGTAATATTATCGGTTAATATTACTGCAATACTGCTGTAACATTACAATAATATTGCTTTAATATTACCCGGTAATATTACTGCAATATTATTGTAATGTTACAGCAGTATTGCAGTAATATTACACGTGATATTAAGGTAATAATAAATGTAATATTGACGTAATATTGGTGCAATATTACAATATAGAAAAATATTTCACGTAATATTACAGCAATATTAAAAAGTCTGCGTCATAGTAATATTACCGGTTAATATTACTGTAATGTAACTATTGTATTACTGTAATATTACAGTAGCATTACTGTAATTTTACAAGCCTATTTGAAATACATAAAAATTTCAAAGTTTTTTATGATAAAGCAGAAAAAAAAATTAATTAGTCAAATATTATTAAGTTGTTTTTGAAATTTTTTGTAATATTGCTGTAATATTACAGTAGCATTTTTGTAATATTACAGTAATATTAACGGTTAATAATATCTTGAAGCGGATATTTTAATATGAATGTAATATTAATGTAATATTAATGTAATATTACTGTAATATTTTTCGGTAATATTACTGTAATATTATGATAATCAAAGATTCCTGATATTTCATTGTAATACTACTGTAATATTATAGTAGTATTAAAATGTTCGCCTCAAGTTAATATTAAACGTAATATTGAGGTAATATTTATATGTCATATTACAGTGAAATATTTAGGTAATATTTGTGTAATTTTTCTGTTCTCATCAACATTTCATGAACCTTGCATTGAAATATTTCAAATCTTGCAATGAAATATTCATACCATGAGGCGGACATTTTAAAATATGACTATAATATTACAGTAATATTACCGTGTAATATTAAAGCAATATTACTGTAATGTTACAGCAGTATTGCAGTAATATTAAAGGAATATTAGTGTAATGTTACAGCAGTATTGCAGTAATATTACTGGGTAATATTAAAGCAATATTACTGTAATGTTACAGCAGTATTGCAGTAATATTACTGGGTAATATTAAAGCAATATTACTGTAATGTTACAGAAGTATTGCAGTAATATTAACCGGTAATATTACTGTAATATTACAGTAATGCTACACTAATATTACAGTAATATTACCATGAGGCGGACATTTTAAAATATGACTATAATATTACAGTAATATTACCGTGTAATATTAAAGCAATATTACTGTAATGTTACAGCAGTATTGCAATAATATTACAGGAATATTAGTGTAATGTTACAGCAGTATTGCAGTAATATTACAGGAATATTACTGTAATGTTACAGCAGTATTGCAATAATATTACAGAAATATTAGTGTAATGTTACAGCAGTATTGCAGTAATATTACAGGAATATTACTGTAATGTTACAGCAGTATTGCAGTAATATTACCATGTGGCGGAAATTTTAATATTACTGTAATATTACAATATAATGCTACACTAATATTACAGTAATATTAATCTGTAATATTACAATGTGGCGGAAATTTTAATATTACTGTAATATTATATGCTACTTGGAATAACATTTATCTAACTAATGATGATAAAAAAAAGAAGAATAAAAAAAACATGTTACTTTTTTGGTAAAAGTGGTTTTTCCCCCTTCAAAAAAATGTCATATGCACGACTGAATTATATAGAATTATATGTATATTTTGTTTGTTTTTTTTTTTTTTTTTTGAGGGGGCCTATAGTTAGTCGCTGTACGATCCTGATTGCTATATAAGAAGCCGGCATTGCCCAAAGTCGAATGCGCGCGCATTCGTGATTGGTAACAGGTGGTTCACGGTGGTTGGTTGAATTTTCCGGCACTCTCCTTCAACGAACGTTGTTGAAGCCGGCATCACACTGCATGGTATAATACTGTCTGTATATATATATATATAGTTCCTGTAAACCACGTGCATACCAACTTACATTCATAGCAAGCGAAGTTAACTGCTGTTCAGGCAGTTGGTTATAGTTCATTCGCGCGACAGACGCGCCCACAGATGGACGTCTGTATTTATTCTAAACGTTTCAAATTATTATTCACACAATTATAAATTTTTTTTTGCAAAATTTTTTGAAAAAAGTGAAAAAAAAAACAGTGTATGTGTAACTAAATTGTAATAATTAAAATTTTTTTTCGGCGGGAATTTTGAAATTGTTTTAAAAAATTGTGAATCGCGTGATACTAATTTTTAGGGGGGTAAATTCAAAAAAAAAAAAAAAAATTATAATAATTTAATTTAATTTACATTTTGCCGGCCCTGAAAGTGGTACTGATTGCGCGAGTGTCGGCATCGATCGGCGCGCGACTTATGTTTCTTCAGTGAGTGTTTAGCAGATTCAGTGCGCGGTTACGTATTTACTATATATATATTGGGAACCACCCCCTTAATTCAGGAATTACTTTCCACCCCCTCTCCACCTCTTTTCTGTCAGTTTCTCAACAGCCTGTTGATCTATTTCCTATCATATATATATATTTTTTTATATATATATATATATAGAAAAAAAAATATTCTAGTCCTCGTGAGTGTGTTTTGAACTTTTAAAATCTTTTCTCTCATTTAAAGGAAGAACCTTTCAAGGTCTATAACCGGTATCTTATATAGAAATTCCACTGGATCACGAGGCCACAATATACCGTTTACACTATATACACAATAGGGTGAGTTTTCTCTTAAAAAAAAAAAAAAAAAAAAAAAAATTATTTAAATCCAGATGTTTCAATTTTTTTTGATGAAAAAACAATGGTTTTATTTTTTTCATCTAAAAAAATTTTATTTTGAAAAAAAAAAAATTGTAATTAAGAGACAAATTTTGAGGGGAGGGGGGAAATAAATTTTTTTTTCCACCATTTAAAAATTTAATTGAAAAACGTGTATGAATTGTTGGGAACACGTGCTTTTTAGATTGCAGCGCCGCCATCTTGAATTATGCGTTTTAACACTTAATAAAACAGATGGTTGATTATAAAAAAGCTCGTCTTAAAATTTTTTCTATTATGTATAGATATTTTCTTTTTTTTTTTTTTTGTTTTCAATATCTTTTAAAATAAAATAACCCCTTCATTTATAATTTTAAAAAGAAAATTATGGAAAAATTTTTTTTTAATTTACCTTTTTTTGAGAAATTAATAAATAACTAATAGTAATAATATAATAATAATAATAAAAAATAATAATATAGTAAAAAAAAAATGAAAAGATAATAAAATAATAAATGAATAATAAATAAAGTAGAAAAAAAAATAGAAAAAATTAATTTAAAATTAAATTAATCAATTATCATTTATTATATTATTTAATTAATTATTATTTTTAATAAAATATTTTCAAAAATTCTAAAATAAGATTTTTCTCTTATCGCATTTTTATATAAATGGACTTGGAATCACATTTCAAAAGTTACCAGATGGTTGATAATAATTTTGTGTATTCCAAAATATCCCTTTTCTCACGAGATTAAATTATCAAAAATTTCTTCTAAAATACAAAGAAAAAAAAAAGTTACCAAATAGTTCAAAAAAAAAATTTTTTTTTTTTTCTAAATTAGTGATTAAAAAAAAAATAAATTAAAATCAGTTGTAATCGGAACTTTTTATTTCCTCATTTTTGATGTCAATGCCTTTTCTATAAAGATAAAGAAAAAAAAAGAAAAGATTTAATGAAAAAAAAAGTCAATTGAAAAAAAAAAATTAAATAAAAAAATTGTAATTTAAGATGAAATTAATGCAATGGTTTCCGGCTTCTGGTTTTTCCCAATGAACCAGCAACGTTTTTCATATTAACGATTGTTTACAAATATAATGCAGAAAGTTTAAATGGAAAGAAGGGAGGGGGGGGGAAAGCCGCAGTTGTCCGTTATTCTCTTACCAATTCAGTTGATACAGTTCCTGGCACCGTACCGCATGATTGTGCGGAAATATGTTTGACTAATAATAATAATAATAACAGAATAAAAGAAGCTCAAAATGCGGGCACTTACAAATGTCATTTAACTAAATTCAGTTTTTCTTTCTATATATATATATTTTTTTTTTTTGAAAATGAACCCCCATTCAATCAGTGCATCTGTCAAGGAAGAAAATTTTTGGAAAATTTTTATTATTCCCCCTATAATAGTGAACAAATTTTAATCTCAAATCAAGAATATATTTTTATTTAGAAATATTTAAATATGCAATTTATTCTTGAGAGTGTAATTTGGATTTAAAATAAGAGGATATATTTCAAGTTTAGTATAATTTACTTCTAAAATAGGGATGACATATTTTTTAATTATAATGTAATTTACTCATTGAAATAAGAGTATATTTTACTTTTGAAATAAGAGTAAATTTTAGTTTTACCCGTGTGGAAAAATCGACTGGACCCCAATCTGTGCCAGACTGGGTTTCCCATTGTCCAAAATGGGCAACCCAGACAACGCCCAAACTGGGCGCGTAACGCTAATCCCAAAAATTTCCCAAGGTTGGGAAATCCCAGCTGTGGCCAGATTGAGTTATTCCATTTTTATTTATAATTGTTAATTAATAATTATATAAATAATTTAACAACAAACGAGTAAATTAAATGAATAAATATAATTTCCTTTTAAATGAAATTGTATTAAAGATGACGACTAACAAACAATGTATATATAGTAAAAAAAAGTAAAAAAAATATTTATATAATTTAACAATTAAATAATAGTGTATGTATTAGATTTTCAAGTTTTGGTACAACTTATAAATGAAAATCGAGAAATAACGCAAACCTATGAAATAAAGAAAAAATTGCGCACGAGGGGAATCGAACCTACGACCTACGGACTTATAGATTAACGCTCTAACCACTATGCTAACGACGCGTATCTGCAGACAAGTTTTAATTTCTCAGTATCATTTATATCATACAATTATTGAATCAAAGATGTGAAAAATATCATTAGGTTAGACAATAAATTAAAATATAATCACTTACTTAATTTCATTTATTTTAATTTCACATTTTTACCAGTAATAGTTTGAATTAATAAGTACCAAAGTCAAAATTTTGTTTAAATAATTTATTAAATTAGAAAATTATGTTTAATTATTATTAATAAATTGAATAAAAATAGAAAATAAATGATTGAGAATGGGATCAGAGTCAAAAAAATCAAAAAGACTCAAAAAACGACTAAGTTATATTATTATTAATTAGCTTAGTTCAATAAATTAAAAACTAAGAACTTGACATACATTTTATTTATTCAGGGAAGATATTATTTAAGCATTAATATAATTAACTAAAGTTTTCAATTTCCTTATTTTTCCTTAAATGTGAATTTTGCCCATATTGACTTTTGGAAAAATCTCCAAACGGCATATAAATTAAATATAAATATAATTAACTAGTTTTATTATTTTTCAAGTTTTTTATTTATTTATAACAGAATATTAAATTAAATTTCAGTTTGGGAATACTTTGGGAAATCCCAGTTTGGGCCAGGGTGTCGATTATGTAATTTGATTTGATTCTGACATCAAATTCAAATTTATTTTGCCGTCAAAGTCAAATTTAATTCGAGAAATTCATTTGTTCATTTAATTTTGACGTCAAATTCAAATTTATTGTTTGATTTGACTTTGACGTCGAAATAAATTTGAATTTGACGTCAAAATCAAATCAAAAAATAAATTTGAATTTAACGTCAAAATTAAATGAACAAATGAATATCTGGAATTAAAATTGACTTTGACGTCAGAATCAAATCAAATTACATAATCGATTGGGTTGACCCAAACTTTGCCCAAGTACAATGAAAAACAAACATTTTTTTCAGCTTTTCACAGTTGCACTTTTTTGTATATTTGTTCACCATATTATTGAAATAATAATTTAATTAACTTAATTCTTTTAATTCTTCATTTTTCAAACTTTGGAAAGCCAAGTTGGTCTCAGATTGGCGCCCAGTCTCACTTTGGGTGACTTTGGGAAGATTTCCACACGGGTATTATATTTTACTTTTGAAATAAGAGTATATTTTAAATTTAGTACAATTTATTCTTAAAATAAGAATATATTTTACTTTTAGTATATAATTTACTCTTGAAATAAGAGTATATTTTACTTTTAGTATATTTTAATTTTGTAATATAAAAATATTTTAAATTTAATATAACTTTCTTTTAAAATAAGAGTAATTTTTACTTTTAATATATTTTACTCTTAAAACAAGAATATATTATAAATTTAGTTTAATTTACTCTTGAAATATGAGTATATATATATAAAATTTAGTATAATTTATTTTTGAAATAAGGTTTATTTTAAATTTAATAATAAATTTTGAGAATTTACAGTATACTCTTAAATTAAGAATTTTTATTCTTATTTTAAGAATGTATTTACATTTTTATGTAGGGGAAAATTGAAAAAAAAATTGTTTTTTACATATCAGAGTAAATTTTTTTCTTGAAATACAATGATGATTTTTATATAGTTTTTAAAAAAAACTTTACTTTCTACTTCGTTTACTTATGTTTTTAAGTAATATCTAATGTCAAATTTTTTAAAATTCCATAAACAATTTTTATTTAAATAATTTCTTGTAATTGCTTGTGTTTAACAATGGGACACTCAACAATGGAACAGGCAAAAATTTAAGTTTATGAAACGTGAATATTGGCAACACTGATTATAAATTGTGTCAGCTATACACACATGCGCGTTTATACTTACACAACGACTAAACATGTGACATAAAAGTTTTCTTTATGTTTAAAAAACAATAAAAAATTTTAAATTTCTAATTAATAATTATTACAATTATTGTTCGATAAAATTTTGAAAAGTAACACTTGATAAGAGAACGACAATTCAAATTTCGCGCCAAATTGTTTTTAGGTTATGACCAAGTTCAGCAGTACTGTAAACGTGAAAAAAAAATAATAGCCATGTTTCATATGAAACTTGACCTTTGTATTATAAAAATGTAAAATATTATTAAATTATAAGTGTTTTGCAACATTTTTTAACGTTATTTAATGCACAAAAAAATATATATTTACAAAGTATGAAGCAGAATATTATTATTTGAAATAATTATTCGGTATTTAATAATAGGTATGTCCCATTGTAGAACACGAACCTTCAAAGCAAGAAAAATTTATCAAGTTCCAAAAACTGAAGTTTTCTATTTAATCACATAATCTTAATAGAATGTATATGCATTATGTAGAAAAGAGTTCAAACTTTATGGTAATAGCAAAAAGTGTTCAAAAATATGTAAAATTGACATCATTAATATGTTTTTGAGAAAAAAGGTGTCCCATTGTTTGTCACTCTCTCCTATATACTGAATTTGAGAATAACTTGTATTAAAAATTAAAATATTCTTAAACAGCTGGCAAGGATATTTATATTTATTCTTAATATTTTTAGAATAAATTATTTTTATTAGTGAAAAGATGAATTGTATACAATATTTATAGAAATTAAAACTCTATAAATTTAAATTCAAGTTTAAAAAAAAAAGATTAAAATTAATTTATCAAATTAAATGAATAAAAATACAGTTAAAAATTTTAATCTATAAAGTATAAAAAATGGTACAAATAGAAGATAATTTTATTTAATTATTTGTTAGAATAAATTTGAGTCATAATAAAAGTTAGTCAAACTGAAATTTTTTTTTTTTGTA